AATTACACAAAAAAATGAGGAATTTCAAATAGTTAATTTGATACTAATATCGATATATTTTTGTCAAATTTTTATGATATCTTCAAATATATATTTTATTCAAAAATAAAAACATTATCGCTTTCTCAAAATCACATAAAGCCATATTATAACATCGACTGAGATTAAGAATAAAATGAAGTATTAAAATTACGATGTATCTTACTGCATTGCACGAGTACGCTTCTAGTATATATATATATATATAAACTTTTTTCTAAAAAAAATATGTAAATCACAATCCATTTTAGAATGAATTACGCTTTTGATTTATGTAGTTTATCTAAAATCCGATTTTCGTTTGTGATGGTTCGTAAAAGATTAATTTATTCCTTATAACTTTTGCTAACTAGCAGTGTTAACTTCAGTCACCATAAATGTTATGAAATTAAAAAAAATTAAAAACTATCAACTCAGATAGATCATTTTAAAGACTAAGAGACCGTTTACCAAATGCTTACTCGGGTAGCGCTTATTCGGGTAAACGTTTACCAAGTTATATTACTTTACAGGATGAATATGGCAATGACCAAGAATCTTACCCGATAAGAGCGAGACAAACACCGAGAGTCTTCCGATAAGTGAGAACAACGACTCTTACCACGATCAGCTCTTACCGGTTAAATTGTTGCATAGAAAGCCGTTTTTGTTGACTAAAATCTTACCTAGTAAGTAAATGATAGTGTTGAATTTTACCGTTAAATGCTTACCGGATAAGTGTTTGGTAATCTTCCCCTAAATCTAAACTTTGAGGAAACCACATTAATCAACACTATAATTCACTCTAACTTAATTAAATAGAAATTCTTGTCTTGGAACTTAATTATTAGAGAGAGAATTCACAGTATTCCCCAATAATTATATATTTTAGGAATTAATATTATTTTATTTTATTTTTAACTATAAAATGATGCCTTCTAGATGTTTGTTTTATTATTAACAATTTAAGTTTATTATAAACTAACACCTTCTAGATGTATGCCTTTTTATTAATATTAATTAATCAGCCGATAAAAGATTCCTAACAAGTTGGACTTTCTGATTACCATCTCTCTTCTCTTAGGCACGAAGAATCTCTCTCATGACATAAACAAGTCACGATCTATCCTTCACAAACGTAAAGATCTCACACGAGCGATAAAAAGGTCTTCACAAATCACGATCATGAAGAGACGTCATTGACCCAAATAACTGATTTCTTTTACACGATATTGTTATTGTGGTATGATGTCGAGAACTATATTAAGGCATTGTTTGACAAAAATAAGCTAACTTATTTTTTGAGTACATGTTTGAAGGAAATACGTATAAGTTATCTTATTGAAACGTTATTTCGAGTAATGTTTTGAGAGTTTATTGTTATTTTTTTAATTACAACTCTTATTAATGTTAATTATTATTTATTAATATTAATATTAATTAAATAAATAAACATTAATTATTAATAAATAATAATTGTTAATTATTAATAGCAGTTCATTATTACTGATATTAATTAATAAATATTAATTCAAAACTATTAGTTAGTATTAATATTAATAAATAAATAATTTTTGAATAACTATTAATTAATTAGGATATGTGAGATTAACTAGTTTTATTTTTATTCATATTATATGTAATGGTTCTTTAAAATCATAAATTAATGTAGGTTTTATCTAAAAATTTGTTTTAAAAATTCAAAACTTATATATTAATACATATATAATAATCAATTTGAAATTATTTCAATTAACATATTATATTATTTAATTTTTTTTACTATCTTGTTTGTATTAATTAACATATTATACTATTAGAGATTTTTTTAGTTTTATTATGAAATATTGTAATTAACTAATTTTTCAAGATAATTTTTTTTGGTCATTTTACATGTTTACAAATTACATGCTAGTTTTTGTCAAACATGATTTCTTCATCAACTACCTTATCAGTTACTAACTAGTTTATCAGTTAATTTGTCAAACATAGCAAAAAATGGAACTCATGGGTTGTTTGTTAACCTCTTAATAATTCAATTAAGATGCAGTTTTGAATCGTTAAGAGATGAATCTTGTTTGGCAAAAAAATTCTGCCTCTTAATAGTTCTAAAACTCTTTGAATGATTTTGTATCATGGACCTTCCTTAACCATTCTGCACCCTAATTTCATTGTAAACAATTACCAAATGATTATATTTCATTTTGCACTATATCATGAGAGACTCTTAATCATTCTGACTACTTAATCATTCTGCACCAAACTATTCAGTAACTGTCAAACAACCCCTCAGTAGAAATTATAATAAAGATCATTTAGGCATTGTTTGGCAAACATAAGCTAGCTTATCAATCACTAACTAGCTTATCAACTAATTTGTCAAATATAGCAAAAAAATAAAATGAAAATAAAAGTTATAATGAAGATCATTTAGGCATTGTTTGGCAAACATAAGCTAGCTTAGCAATCATTTAGTCAACATATTATAATATGTATTTATTTTTATTTTTTTGGTATTAATTAACATATTATTTTTTTAGAGGTTTGTTTTAATTATATTGTGAAATATTTTAATTGATTAATTTTT